ATGTAATTCCATCATCAACCAATCCAACCAGGCCATTCACTAGAAACACTATTGATGAGCACTTGGACATGCTGATGGTTTGCCACCACCTTGACAAGTACGGTCACAAATATATGTGAAATATATCATATTTTGACATTTGAATGATAACAAGTTACACTTAGCAAGGAAACAGTGAACTCAATGATGTTTCCCTTCCAACACAAGCTTTTTACAGGTAGTCCCTACCAGTTTAATCATTTCACTCTTGTGATCTCAGTAGCAATTCTCCTTGCTGTCTATCATACAATTCTCATCATGTAAGTTTAGAGAATTTGGCATTGGATCAACTGATAATCCCCTTTAGTGACTGGGAAAGGTTGAAGAGGTAAAAAAAGTACATTTTTTAGCATCTTGTTGAACAAATGTTATCACCAATTTATTGAAAATGTTTGAAAATATATTTTACTTTCAATTTTTTTTCACAAATATCTTTATTCAGTAATAGCTTCCTTTCAGAAAGTATTTAAATATTAATTGTTTTTAAAAAGGGAATGATGAAATATTTTTGTTCAGAAATCTGAAGGAGGATGTGGCATTTGCTGAGTCTCGTATCAGAGCAGAAACAATTGCAGCTGAGGATATACTGCATGACATGGGAGCCATAAGCATCATCTCTTCAGATTCACAGGTAAAGGCCGCATACATACCTCTTACTATCCCAGTTTGAGGTCCCTATAGAGTACTGTAAGTTATGGATCAGGTTTTTCCCACTCAGATTAAGGCCATAAATCATATCATAACGCATTTACTAACTGTGAGAGATATAAGAAACTTGCTTCTTTTATTCTAGCACATACCAACTATATTTTGAGGTGTAAGAGTCTATCACACCAGATTCAAGTTTAAACTTGGAAATTGTACTGTTCTCATTGCAGGCCATGGGCCGTGTTGGAGAGGTGATCTGTCGCACATGGCAAACAGCTGATAAAATGAAAAAACTGAGAGGAAAGCTTTCTGATGAAACGGTAACAATTTTGAAACATTTCTGTTTGAGATAGTAATTTCTTGGTGAATTCACAGGTCCACTCTTTTTGGAAATCATATCTTCAGTTTTTGTTTCTTATCAAGTACAGTGATGTATAATCTAAATACAAGATATGTAACTTGGTTATTTGGTAGTGATTGCTAGACTGAGTATAATACATTGCAATTGTTGTAGAATATATTTACAAAGTAGCTATAATTGCATTTTTATGTGTCATCACCAGGGTGACAATGACAATATTCGTGTACGCCGTTACGTAGCCAAGTACACCATAAACCCAGCATTGGCGCATGGAATGTCACATGTCATTGGATCAATAGAGGTAAATAAACAACTTATTATTTAACAAGTTAAAGTATGGTAAAAGAGCCAGACAATTGAAGGGGTTCATGGAGAAAGGCCTTGTGCGACTGGTGATGCACTGCTAGATTCTCCCTCTTGACTGTCTTGTTTTACTCTGTGAAACAGAAGGAGAAGAAGATGTTTCATCAAGAGTCATTATAACCCTTTATTCACCCAGGGTGACTGGCTTCTAATTTCTCCTTACAGTATCACCCTTCAATCCAATGTAAGGGTCATAAGAGTAAAGGAAATGATCACAATAATTCAAGAAGATCCTGATCATCAATCAAATTCTCCTCATCAATATCATTTTACATAATAAGCTCAGTTATGCACACATTCTGATTGGTTCTCACTTATGATCTATTGGAGGACAGATGCATAGATGACGTCATTGTTAAAACTTTTTTTAATTCTTTATTATATAAAACAAATAGATTCCAAGTTGCCGTGCGTCTGTTCAGTAATAGATCACAGAGGATGTCAAAATGTGGTAAGAACATCAGTGACACACTCGGCTGCGCCTCGGGTGCCACTTTTTTGTTCTTACCACATTTTGATGTCATCTGTGATCTATTACTGAACAGATGCACGGCAACTTGGAATCTATTTGTTAAATAGCAATTGTAGAGAGATGCAGTTTGGAGAGTGTGCATACTGATGTTATGTGTTAACCCATAAACTCCTATGAGCAAACAGCTTCTGTTTTCTCCCTAGAATATTCTCCCCGGGAAAAAACTATTAAGAATAAAGGAAACAATCACTAATGATTGTGAAACAAATTCTCCCTTTCAACACCATAGGAAATGTATGGGGAACAGTGTGGAGAATATGCATTCTGATGTTAAGGTGTGAATGGGTTAAGGGTTAAACTGGTGTCAAGGGTACTTATAACATGAGATATAATTTTCAGGTGGGAAAACTGGCAGATCTAGTGTTGTGGAATCCAGCTCTGTTTGGTTCTAAACCAGAGATTGTGGTGAAAGGAGGACAAATTGCATGGTCTCAGATGGGTAAGAAAGGCAATGCCTATTGTTGAATAACAATGATGTTCTGTTTCTCATTAAAAAAATAGAAGGAAATATTTTTTGCAATTAAGTATTGACTTCAAAACCAAACAAACACATTCATTTGACTGTAATCAATTCAAGAAAGGCCAACTTGCAGCATTGGTCTGCTTCTGGTATGCATAATAAAATTCATTTTGCAACTGAAGGAAGCAATTTGACCAATTTGAGGCAGAGAAGATCAACATGTTCTCAATTGCATTTGTCAAAATCAATCTAAAAAAAGTTTCATACCTATCTGTAATATTAATGCAAAAAATTGTCTTTTAATGAAGGTAAAGTTTTGTGTTTTCTAATTTCCTGGTTATAAAGCTCTGGGTTTTTTTTCAATTTCCACAGGAAATCCTAATGCCTCCATACCAACCCCCCAACCAGTTAGGCCACGCCCAATGTTTGGTGCCTTTGGGGCTGCTATTGGAGCTAACTCTGTTGTGTTTGTAAGCCAGGTCAGTGAAAGGTTGTTTGCTGTAGAGGCCCTGTGAAGATTTTGAAGTAGCCTGGTGGTGACTGTACAATTTTTTATGACTCAAATTGGAATTGAAGCTGTCAATTTTATGTGAAATTATTTTCTTTCTTTCTTTTCATAAATGTGTGCAGGAATGTACCAAGCATAATGTCTGTCAGACATATGGTATCAGTAAGAAGACTATTGCAGTTAAGGGGTAAGTGTGTTAAACAATGGTGTATCCAAAATTTTGATAGAAGTTTGATATTCAAATCAAATCAAATATAGATGGAATAGTTAGACAGACAGATGGATCAGACCAACAGACAGTTAGGCCACCTGGCAGATGGGGTAATTTAGTATGATCAACTGTATTAACTCTTCATCATTCGCTCTGACAAAGGGCTAACACTCAAAACGTCAGCTTTGGACCTTTTTACAGTGGCAGCTGATAACACAAAATTACCCTGTTATACTCTCCCCCTGACACACCACTACTATTTCTTTAGAAACTTACCCCCTTTATTTACCTGACAGACAGACTAAATGATTTACTGACCCAGTGATCAACTTTGGATGAAGGATCAAGAGACTGACCAAACAAAAAAATGACAAAATGATTGATTGACTGCCTGAAAAATTAATGTACTCAGTGAAAATGTGTACCCTCTCAATTTAACCCTTTGTCCTGTAAGAGTGACCCACATCTAATTTCTTGTTACAAAATCACCCCTGAATCAGGCATTAATGTCACAACTGAAGTAAGAATTAAGGAAATGATCACCAACTAAATAAGCTCTTGATAGTTAAACAAATTCTCCTTGTCAGCACCTTAAGAAATGTATAGAGAACTGTATGGAGAATATGCCTACTGATGGTAAGGTGGAAAGGGCTAAGTAATGCTGCCAGCAACTTGACTGCAGTAGCATAATACCCATCTGTCCGTCATGGTATTCATTGATTCTTTAGTTAACTGGTGGTACCTTGTTAATCTACAGCTGCCGTACAGTGAAAAAGAAAGACATGGTGCTAAACAACTACTTGCCCAAGCTTACAGGTGAGATCAAAAGGAAGATGGCAAACCAGGCTTCTGCTCAGGGTTAGATCATGGTATTTGAACAGCATCATCCAATAATTGTTAGGAGATCCAGTGGCCAAATAAATGGTGCACTGGACTCCAGGTCAACGGGTTCTGGCTTCAAGACCTGACTGGGTCAACGTGTTGTGTTCTTGGGACAGAACACTTTACTCTCACAGTAAAGGAGTATAAATGGGTACCAGGAGTATAAATGGGTACCATTGAATTGTCAGGGAAGCTCAATGTAATGCTAAGGGGTAACCTTGTGATGGGACTAACATCTCATGTAGTTGTTTCTTACCCAGGAGCAGGGATAATTAAACTCTGATCATATGGGCTACTTGGCTCGAGTACAGACTTTACCTTTACATCCAATAATTGTTACTTGACTGTATATCAGTACATGACTTTTCTTTTTTGATTTGGTTGCTTTGCAGTGGATCCCCAGACATACAAAGTTCACATCGTTGATCCTGATAATCCATCCATCAAAGAACATATTACATGCAATCCAGCGGAAACCATCCCCATGGCTCAGCGATTTTTTATCTTTTAAGTGCTTAGAGTAATGGACAGAAAGGGTTTCTCCAGATACCTTACTTTGACAAACTAAATTCTGGTTAAATTTAGAAACTGGATGTGGCTAGGAATGTGTAATGAATTGTTATTAATATGTGGATGTAATTATATTCATTGTGGCTGATGAGATTACAGTATGAACTCCCCTTAAGAGACTCTTGTAAAAGAACAGCTTTTCTTATATGTTAGTTATATGTTATAGCTTTTGGCTTGTGAAGTATGCAGGACTTTTATGTGAGAAATGGGTTCCCTTGGCTGGTGCGTAAAAGTGGCCATGTGTGGTGCACATCTCTAGTGGCTACTCACTAGTCCCGGTTAAGGTCCAATTACAAACTTAACACCTTTTTCATGTGACAAGAGTGTTGGCATATGAGAGCTTACACTGTATCTCTTAAGACACAGTGTAAGCTATTAGTCTTTTAAAAAAGTCTAATAGGGGATGATTTCTTCAGCAACAAGCATATATGTTTTAATTGGAGGTAAAATGGCAAAACTTAATTTAAGGTATTTCTGCATCCTGTTTAGCATGAGAAGGCAATAACAGAAACAAAATGTATAACAATTATATAGTGGACAATCTATGTTCATTAAACAAGAACAGTCAAGATTTAATATTGTTAGTAAAATTGATCCAAATATCACACTTGAAATGTTCAATGTTGAGCCACTTAAGCACAGAAACATTGTTTATAGAAAAGACTGTGTGATAATTAGTTTCCTTGCTATTTTGGTAGAGTTTAATCATAACTTTGATCAAACATGTTGAACTAAACTGGATGTTGTAAATGTAAGGTTTAGAAATAGGTATCAGTCAAGCTTGCTGATTAAGAAAAGGAGCTTGAAAAGGGCTTTTAGAAGCCTTGTAAAGATAATACTGTAATTGTATTTCATTTCGTGGATGTAGAACATTCTCTTGAAGAGTTACATATAATCAATTGTTGGCTTAACAGGTTGCAGTTATTATGCGTTTCTGTTATTCCCAATAAAGAAGGTAAATGTTCTGATTAAGTACTTTGTGGTTTATGCACTGATTGATCTGAAGCCCCAACTTCCCACCCCCCGATGGGCATTTGATTGTCATCTGTACTTGATGCTGGGGAATTTAAACTTTTCCTGGGTGGGGTAGGGAATTTGAAAAAAAGGTTCTAAATTTTTCCAGCAAATATGTTTTTTCAGAGGAAGGTTTTTTAAAGGAAAAAATTCACTTTTGCGAGCAAATGGCTCAGAAGGAAAAGGTTTACGGGGTCAAGGTTTTAATTAAGGTTTGAATGATCCAATCATTTGCTGGTTAATGAGTAGGAAGTTACCATCGCTGATCTTGCATTTAACAAAAAGTTTGATCAACCAATTCAGCACCCTAGTAGAGCATTTGACCACAATTTTGGTGCAGGGGGGTGGGATTTCAACAAACAAATCTTCAAAAGTTCAAATGCAACAGGGGTTGTCCAGATGAGGATTTTCAAGCTTTGAATTGATTGATGCATTAGTGCTTGCTAAAATATCAGAAATACTTTTTCTAGAGATCTTCTTTGTTGCACTTGACTGATGATGCTGCTGCACAAATGTGAGACATATAACTCTGGAGTCAAAAATGAAAAATTATGAGGTTCTTGGCACCTGAATTAACCCTTTAATTCCCAAGATCTCATTAGTAATTCTCCTTACTATCTCCTATACAGTTCTTGTGATGTTAGTTTGGAGGATTTAGTATTGGATCATCTGATAATCCCCTAACTGATATTTTTCTTTATTCTCATCACTTGTCTGCTTGATATTGTTTTGATATTGTAAGGAGAAATTCTTTCTTGGTCACTTATGGGAGTTAAAGGGTTAACCTCATTTATTTTCTTAGTTTTAATTCATTTTTTTGATCTTAAAGGTTATTTCTTGATACTGATTTGTGATAATTGTATAGTTTTCTCAAGAGGAATCTGAACAGAAAATAATTTGATCACAGCTACTTATTCCAATATACAATCACTCACGCCTTCAAGAATACAATAAAGTTTAATAAATGTACAAAATATACCGTAACCCAAGACAGTCACGCGTCAAATCTGTCGAACTCTTGTAAATAGTCATACCTATCAATACTGAAGCAGATATTCGCCTCAACGTAAATTACGAAAAAAGAGAGAAATCCAAGGTATTCTTGCAAGAGGATTTACAATTGTATTGGTATGCACTAGTACAAGTGCTTGCAAACAGATATTATGTGAAATGCTTTAGTTTCAAGATAGTAGATAATGAACGCGCTTAAGCTTTGTGAAATTAAAATGAAAATTCTAGTGGCTAGTTCTCAGTTTCACACACGGTTGCCACATTTAAAATCAACATAGAAACCTATATGTTACAAAATTGTTCCTTATATAGCATTGTTCTCGATTTTAAAACCACGTCATCTTGTTTACAAATCAAATCGCCAGTCCAAAAACGCTCACGATGCAGTACATGGTCTTGTTTTCCCATCTCACTGTACAACTTCCATCAGAAGTGTTATCCCAGAAACAGGAACTTGCAGTGTGAAGGCCAGCTCCATTTTTCTGCATGATGACACAGGTGACGATGTACTTGAATGGCTTTCCGAGCTTGGTTAGTTGATTCAAACATTGCTCGACGACATTGGAAGTCCACTGATTCACTTTGTTGTGTTGGTAGGCATTTCCGCCGATAGCTCCTTCGACAGACTCTTTGATAATGTTGCTAACCTCGTCTACGACGAAGGATGTTTCTTCTGCTGACTGATACTCGTCCATTTGGAAGCTTTTCCCCTCACAGATGCGACAAAAACAGCAGCGACAAAAACAGCAGCGACAAAACACAAATCACTTTTCAATATGGAGGATTAGCACAACTTAGCAACCACGAAAAATCTCGCCCCAGTACTACAACTCGCTCAAGATAGCAACGCCTGTTCATTTTCGACGCCTCGACCCCTTACGCTACTAACCACGGTCGATCCTATTTCTCTTCTCTGCCACATTTTTGAGATGGGAGACAGCGAAGAAAAACCTTGCAGCTTTATTAAAGGTATGGATATATAAATCATTATATTTGAAATTAAGTCATCAAATAGAAGCTGACATTTGCAGCGAGCCTCCCTAAAAGCGGGCGCATGGCGTGGTGGGTGTTGTTCTTCGGATACAGGGCACATTTGAGAAAACGTAACCCGACCATCGGTTTTTGAAAGGCAAATTTAATAATTAAAATAAAAATTGTCTAGAAGTGGCGAGGAAGCCATGAGAAACCACAGGGCTTTTACATGATGGGATCTCTCTTTGCCAAATCAAGATCCTTACCACACAACTGAAAGTGATAATTGTAATGATCACTATGTGAAAATTAATGAGTTCTTTTCCTATTTTCAGCTGGTAATATCAGTACTTCCCCTGAACAACATCACCATCATCATCACCATCATCATTCAGCACCCCATGGACACAGTCATGGTGCCAATGAGCATGGACACGCCCATGAATTTATGTCGAATCCTGGCCTGTGGACAGAAAGAGACAAATTAGTGAATAGATCTGACTGGAAACAAGTGAGTTTATACACAGATTTCTGGAGGATTTCCCATGTACCCACCCCCCTACCATTAAGACAAATCTCCTAAGCAGGACTTAGTTGTATTGAGGGGTGGCACATGGCAAAATAGGAAGCTTGCAGAGCTGCTTAGACCCATGTTTGAAAATGAGAAATTATGTCTACAGAACTCCCTACTCCTAACTATTTCTATGGTGTTATTCAAATTACTGGATGGGCCTTGCTAGTACAAGGGCTCAAAATAAGACTATCACCAGTGTGATTGCCAGCTGCTGTTTAGAAAACCTGAAAGCTTAAGACTTCCATCACACACAACAATAACTCCAACCTGCCCTGGTTGACCTTTGTCTGAAACTCTTAGCTATGTGAACAAATCTGAGACCTCGAAAGCTTTCAACAAATGTAAACATTCAAGAATGAAACATTTGCAGCATAAACATGATTGCAAGGCTCATTGCATAGGCTGATGAGATTACAAGACTGAATGAAAATTTTGTAAGACCTACACTTTATCAAGGCACCATTTTCTATCTCCATTATGGGAGCTGCAGTAAATCTTCTTTCTTTTCCTCTCTAGCGGGCTTTTACAGTAGGTATCGGTGGTCCTGTTGGATCAGGAAAAACTGCACTAGTCTTAGCTCTTTGCAGACATTTAAGGGATTCCCATGGAGTATGTGTTGTCACTAATGACATCTTCACTAGGTAAGTGCACTGACCGTGTTTTACTGTAGATAAAATACAGATTTTTAATTTTGATATTAATTACATCCAAATCATTTTTCCTTCAAATTAACTGACTATGAATTTCAGGGAGGATTGGGAATTTCTTGTTAAAAATGAAGCTTTACCAGAGGAAAGAATGAGAGCTGTAGAGACAGGAGGCTGTCCTCATGCTGCTATAAGGGAGGTGAGGCAAAAAATTTCTGGTTCAAAGTATAGTATAAACCAGTTTACTATGATTTCTAATTGTCCATTAACATTTTACTCCCAAGATCTGATTGTTAATTCTCCCCTCCAGCTGCTACACTTTTTCTTGTAAATTAATGACAAGAATTTGGTATTAGATCAAGATAACAATTTCTAGCTGATAAGTTTGAGTATTCACTTCCCCCTTTTTGCAGAATAGCATAAGGATGTTGTACAGAGAAGTTAAATTTTAATCACTTTGGGTAGTTAAAGGGTCAAGGGGATTTATAAATCTATTTATATATAGACTAATAACTGAAGAGAGTTTGTCAGTATATCAGGACAATACCCCCCCAAAGGTGATAAGTTTGTCTT